TAAAGGATTCTTGAAAGATTATCTACCAGCTTATCCACCTTCCACATAGCTATTTCCTTTAAAGTCCTAGGATATAGCCCATCAGATCTAGGAGACTTATTGGCCTCTAACCCTATTTAATTTTCACTCCATTGAATGTTATTGTTCTTAACTCTGTAGCCCCTTGATTATTTAATATTTTTAGAATGCTAGTGTCCTGTACCGTGAAGGCTGTTGCAATGAATTTACTCATTCCTCTGCCATTTCCCAATTCTCCATAATGATTTCCCCAGTCTTATATGTAAAGGGGTCTATGTTCACCTTGGCCTCTTCCATCTTATATTTATTGTCTGTTTTATTAGTTTGCCCTCAGTTCATTTTCTCCCTAAATTTTTCAGCCATCTTCATTGTATCAAAATGAAAAGGAAAAACAATGTGCTAAATCAGACAATTGGGAGCAGTTTTTAAAAACAGTTAACTTATTTGCTTAACTATGGTTAGTTTCTCCCCTTCTTTTTGTGCCAGCTCAGCATAGCCCTCAACTTGTCAATATTTCAAAAATGTGTATCTCCTCCATAAATATTTTGTGATCCAGCCTCCACAACTGTCTAAAATAGAGAATTCCAGACATTCATTATGCTCCAGAGAATAAATGTCCTCACATCTCAGCTTTAAAATATCCCCTTATTCTGTAATTATGTACCCTAGTTTGGGATTACTACACTAATGGAAACATTTATCCTATCAAACCCCTTTGGAATCTCTTATGTTTCAATGAGATCACCCCTCATTCTTCTGAACTTGAATGAAGAAAAGCCCTAACCGGTTTAGCTGTCCTTGATCAGTCAGCACCTTCATCCCAGGAATCAGCCCAGTGAATCTCTTTTGAACTATCTAATACCCAGTATGTAGTTTCTTAAATATGAGGAACAAAAAAAGAAAAAAAAAAAAAAACTACAAATACTCCAGATGTGGTATTACTGAGTGTACAGGTACAGCATAACAACAAGGCTTTTTTTTAAAAAAAATCTCCAACCTCTTAGCAATAAAACAGAAACAGAAAACCATTCAGCCCTTTGAGCTTGTCCTGCCATTCAATAAGATCATGGCTGATCATCTAACTCAGAACTCTGTTCCCAATTTCTCCCTGTAGCCCTAAGAACTGTATCTAACTCTTTCTTGAAAAAGATTCGATGTTCTGGCCTTAACTGCTTTCTGTGGCAGAGAATTCCACAGGCTCACCACTCTGAAAACAAAATTCTCTTCATTTCAGTCCTACATGAGCTATCCCATATCCTTAAACGGACTCCTGGTTCTGGACTTGGTCATTGGGAACATTCTTCCTGCACTTACCCTGTCACCTCTATTTATATTATTATATATACTTCACACATCGATAGAGAGCAATTTTAAAACTAAATATTCCCAATGGGTTTTAATAGTAGGACTGCGCTAGTACGCTCCCGATCAACATTATTTGTCTATGCCTGTATCAGTACACTGTTCTCTTGCCTGGTCTTCTCTTTAGATTTCTAAACTTCTGCTTATAAATGAATCATTTCCTTCTCTTCTCACTAGATAAAGTTCACAGACGCTAGAAGTCTCTAGAGCCTTGCTCCATTTTCATTGTGCACGATATACCAAAAGTTTGCAAATACAGACAAGTCAACATCTGTGAAAAACAAAGGACCGATTCATATTTCAGGTATACCATTTAACAGAATTATGAATACCCATAATCAGGTTTTTCAATTATGGAAGATATTCCAGATAAATTTGATCGTGTCCTTATCCATACCCACACAGCTCCTTTTAAAAAAGGACCTTCCAATAGCCATCAGCAACAGGATCCTAGAATAATTTCTCACGCCTAGAAATACTAAAGCCAAAGTATATTCAAAATTATCGTCCGTTTGATTTAATCCTATTATGAGCTGTCTAAAACTAATGAGAGTGTGATCATTTACTTGTAATTCCTTGCTTACAACAGATGACATTGTAACTCGTGCAAAAGCACCGTCAGATTCAGTTTTTCATTTATGATAGCATAGTTACTATGAATTGGTTATCATTTAACCCCAAAAGCGCACGATAGAAAACAAAATACGGATGGAGGGTTTATATCCGCGTCAAAACTCAAATATTTTAACCTAATTAAGTTGAAAAGAATACAGTGAAATATGTATCCACAATTGACTGTTAGTCATCCATTGCTTTACGTTTGCAGCATATTCGCCGTGAACTTTGAGATCTTGTGGCACAGTAGGTACCCCGGTCTGAGCCAGAAGCTTCAGGTCCCTCTTCGGGACTTTTGACCAGTGAGGTGTTCATAACTTGGCCAATCAATTTAAATATCAACTCCAATCCTTTCAGCATAAAGTCAACAACTGATCGATCAGCAATTTCTTCTGTTCTTATGTAAATGCTGGAAATAAGGAAGCTAAAAGTGCGAGTTGCCTTGGCAACTTGATTTCCTTAGGGATGTCGGGTTAGCTTCGTTGGCTGGGTGGCCAGTGTAAGTCACAGGAACCTAGTGAAATGGTCAGCTCAGTCTGGTATTTAAAAATCAGGCGTCCTTTGAAGTAAAAGCACAATTGCTCGAAAATATTAGAGACATTTCTCCATTTGGAGACTGAACGCAATTCAGGACAGGAGTAGATGAATATTCATTAGTTGTGATACAATTTGTATCTCGGTCGTTTTGCGTTCAACATCAACGCAGCTTATATTATCGTTTCAAATTCCAATAAGTTCACATTTAAAAATCTGACAGATCATTATTAGCCGCGGTAATGAGAAACTCCACACAATAAAACGGCAACGAATGTAAAGTTTCGCGCTGGAATCTCGGGCCCATGTGGTTATTCAATGTGCTCGAATGCCAAAAATCTCCTAACTATAGCGAGTAATTTTACATTGCCAACAAGCTTACACCATAGAAAAGGGTAACACGTTTTCTCTGTTCAACTTCAAAAGGGAGTAAGTAGTAGTCCTTAGAATAAATGAAAATTAATGACTTGTGCGGTTTTCCATTTCAAAGCATTGAGACAAATAGATTTACTCGGCAGAGCGTGCATTTAAAACGACGTTAAACTTTGCAACTACTGTCACTTGGCCTTCATCGACTGTATGTAAAAGCTGTAACCAGTTATTTGCTGGAACAAGGAAAAGTGGACAGACCTCAGATAATAAGAACTGCCGATGCTGGAGGCAGACCTGGTGGCTTTAAGCGGGGTAGTACCAACATAGAACCAAATAGCTTGTTTATGTTATGTTCTCACGCCAACTGAACATATGCATGATGAGTTTTATTGTCAATAGGATTTTAACATTCACAAGTTATATTGAACGGAAAAACACTCCTTTCTGAACTGAACGCCCAGTTATACTTCATAGCCTCTCTCGCTAGTACCGAAAAAAAAAAGTTTCCGGTGATTAAATATCGGAAATGTCTTCAGCTACCCCTTCTCTCTCGCCTCTAGGAACTGTGCAAGAGAGAGCTATATGTTCACAACTTTCATGCCTTTTTTAACTCCTAAAATGAACTTAAGATGTCCACATCCGTAGCAGTGCTTGTCTAATGCATCTGCTGCTGTATTCCCCAGCCAGATTACTGTGAAACTGTGGCTAGTTGTTTATTCCTGGCTGACCTCCCCCCTCCTACCTTGTAACCCGAATTGTCCCATTCGGACAGCATCTCTATGCAGCACCTGCATAATCCGGATGCAAAAGTCAAATGTCTCACTTTCAAAGTTTAGTTTTGTCGTCAACGGGGGAAATCCCAAACGCAGGAGTACACGATACTGCCCTGCACACATGTACAAATACATCGTAGCTAAATCAGCACTTTTTCTCCTTCCCAAATCGTCAAAAATCTTATCATGGAGCATCCATGTTTCCTAGACTAGTAGAGAATTCCAAAAATTCACAGGCCCCTGATAAAACTTCGTTAAGTGATGCCAGTGCAGTAGCTTCCGTGTGGGGGGGGGGGGGGCGCGAAGAGGAGAAGAGCCCTGGCAAGCCCCTTCAGAATATTTTTTCAATGATATCACCTTATTCTTCCAAACTCCTGGGACTATAAACCAAATTTACTCATTCAAGATGAATCCTTATTTCAGGGACTAATTTAGTGAGCTGTAACATAATCGCTCCATGGGTGTCATCCCACCCCCACTCTAATCTGCGCCAAGCCTTCAATTCATCTCCGCGATACTTACTTTAAATTGCCCTTCAGTGATGGCCCTGCCTTCAGTTATGGGTAGTTGGGGGGGGGGGAAGCTTTATAGAATTCTCTGAACTGTTCCATCTCTTCCTTCCCATGGGTTTTGAGAAGGGGCGCGGTGAAGACTTTAAACTGACATCAGGAAGCTTCTGTTCAAATAGCTTGGTCAGTCAACATTTCCGTCTTAGACTGGGTGAAAGGAGTTGAAATTTGGAATAATGTGGACAAGTTATCTTGCCATTTTACCACCTCCATGCACCGCTGCAGGAGGTGGGCTATAGGCAGTAGTTACCTGTATGGCAGTGGCAGAATGAGTATGGTGATGGAGGAAAACGATCTGGAAAACCAGGTCTTCGTTTGCTGCATTGATACTGATAGGAAAAGCAGGGAGACCCGTAATCCCACACGTGGAGCTCAGGCAGCGCTCCCACTAATCTCACACCACTGGAATGGGCTCCATGTCCTGTCCTTCTGCCTCCCGTCTTTAAACGGAACAAAGGCTGCTTGTTACTTGGCCGTTCTCTTATTGGAATGGCAGCAAAAGTCAAAACAACAGCTAATGTCACATCCATTTCAGCCCAATCTCTTTTGTTTTTAGAAACGCACGTTCTAGGAAACCGGGATACAGGTGCTTAACGGATTAAAGGTACATTTAAGCCTTTTTAAAAATTGCATGACATTTTGCCTTTCACCCCATTGGGCCAAAAATAGTTCTACAGTAGGACCCGCCCAATTTAAACTCAAGTGCAAATGATTTAGTTTGAGAAAGTGAAGCTTAAAAAAATTAAACTCGCAACAATTGATTTAAAAAGCTTTATTGAAAATACAAGCCAATTTTCTAGACTATGTTCCACCCAGCACATATCCAGAATAGATAACTAAACAAAACGGAATGTTTCACAATATTCACAGTCATTACCTTACTGGCCATACCTTAAATCCGAAGAGGTGCTTTCAAAAACTAATAAATCGGTCCAGAAGTGAAAAAAAATTCGTCACAGCAATTTCTGATACTATGTTTATCTAATTTCTTGGAAGTGTCCATGTGCAGTTTCCGTTACAGTGCGAACGTCTTGAATTGGTGCAAAAATAGACGTTATAGAAAAATAAGTGCGCGAGAAAAATATAATCGTGCAGAAAAGTATCGAATAAAGTCCCACATCCACTTTCATAGAAAGAAATTGCTGAATTCAAATATACAGCTCAATGTTAACTAAATGAAGATTATGAAATATTCCTTTAAATCCTAGGCTAGATACAATCCAAAAACTCCCTGCTTTAAAAACTTTCAAAAACTAATTATAAAACTGGTGTTTCTAAAATATTGCGACTAATGGAGCAGTAAAATAATCTTTATGGCCTGGTTTCGGACTAAGAACGGCTGGAATGTAACAGTTTTTAGTTAACAATGTGATTGAGGGAGTAACTAAAAGTTACTGAAGTCTTATGCGGAATTTTTAAAAATAATCTCAAATTTGGAGAAGTTCATGGGTTTACCAATACTGAGCCCGATTTTTACGCTTGAAGGATCTGTTCTTGTCTCGCCGAGAGCAGTAATGTTTGGTTACGATTTGCTTGCACTGCTCACATCTGACAGTACAACACCAGTGGAATTTGCAATTGCAACTAGTGATAATCTCAGTCTCCTTCTCCTCTGGCCTGAGCCCGCACTCTCCGCACAGCCTTCTGCAGCTCCTTCTCTCCCACTGGGAGAGGTTCTTACCACTTTGGAGACATTCCCTCCCTTCTGTTCCTTGCAATCCCAGTGTAACGTTCCGGACGCAGTAATCGGGAGAGTCTTCAAGGTAGACAAGTTCTGTCCGCGGCACAACTCTGAACGCTTCTGCGATCGCCGCACGGTTATCCGCACTATTTCCCCCTTTCATACGCCTCTTCTCTAAATCGATCTTTATAGCTTGTTCGTGTTTCACTCTCAAGTAGTTCCCAACGTCTCGGAAGTCAGCCAACTGGAGCCAGCAAGTCTGGATACTGCAGCTTCCCGACACTCCATGACATTTGCAGGTTCGCTTCATGGTCTCTCGGACAGCCTGGGAAAAATCAACAAAACAATATAAAAAAGTATTAATCCCATAACAATTTACAAACACAGCGGCTGTAAGCAGTGCTCACGCTAGATCAGACTTTAGAATTCTCCGTCAGAAATCCTTGTTTAAAAAACCACAAATATTAACTGTCTTGTCATTTTAAGCAGTTAGTAACCCCTTCGTACTTCCACCCCCATTACGCGCTAATGGAGCCGAAAGTACTGTCAGTGCCTAGACGCCTCTTAATTGTAAGAGTTTGAATACAAATCACAAGCCTCGTAATATTTCCTCAAATATTCCAGGGTAGGATTTTACTGATCAAGAGATTTCCTGAACTCGTTACTTACCCAAGACCTGGTTTGGCTCGCTCTGCATCTAGCACCTCCCCCGCCCTTCCATTTACAGCATTTTCTAAAATTGGTATCGTGAACGTCAAGCAGTTCGACAGACTAGTGATCTTGGAGGGAGGCTGCGTCCTGGTCGTTGTGGAATGGCTATTCTTGGTTCAAGCAGATTACCTTATGTGCGAAGCTAAAAAGCTCACCCCCACCTAGAGATCAAGAGCCGATATCATCCAGGCAAGATCTCAGAAGGAGGCTCCTCTCTCCTGAAACAGGTCACCTAGCTCTAGTCCCCCACATCCTTCCTGTAACACTGCAAGTTTTTTTTCGGATTAAGTTATCCGATTCTCAAAGAGACCTTGATTCAGGCAGTACATAGTGGAGCCTAAGCGTTCGCTGCATTTTGTGTCTCCATTTCGCCTGTTTCTTTTACCAAAAGCGTGTTATTTCACATCAATAGTTAGCCACTAATATGGTTAAATATACAGCATCCAATAGACAATGCAAAGTTTCCGAAACGTGATGATTACCAAACAAAAAACAATACATTGGATAAATCTCACCCTCAAAGAGGAACAGCAAAATTAAAACCTTTCCAGGTTTCAGAGTTACCAGTTATTCAGTTGTGCACATTCAAAATAACTGCAATTCTGTTCACAACATAATATCAAACAGTGCGGTATACTTGCCCTTCTCCCTGCTTCGTTATTATGGAGGTTCATGGCAGCTCTGGAATCCTGCCCCGTCTCCAAAGCATCGACAAACTGTTTAGAAATTCGTTCTCCAAATTCAACATTGTCACTACATCCTCCCCAAACCCAGCCTCGGCCACCTGCAAGATGTTCAGATGCATCAGTACAGGAGGTTACAAAATCGATTTGAAGCAAATACTTTGTCTCATTGCAACGGATGAAAGAGTCGTCAAATGCGCTCCCTTCAAAAGCAAGAGCTGAAAATGTTGCCCAACCTACCGGCCTGGCCGCTCCTGGATTCATCACAACCGCAGTTGTCGAAGTTCCCCATACTGCAGTTTCTTGTCAACGTGTACATGACGCCTGCAGAACTGATAGCATGCACGAAGGACGTTTCTCTCGTGGCTGATAAAAGGTACAAGTTAGTGAACAGACTTAAAACGAACCCTGGAAACTATCGGCTGAAATGGTGTTTCTTACCGCTCCGAAGACCATTGTGTGTTGACAGTTGCAGTGCGCTCTCTGGACAGTTCCAGCGGTCCCAGGTAAACTGGTGTTTACATTCATCAATGCCGGATTCAGCCCCAGCAGCAACACTGCTGGAATAGGTCAGGAAAGCCTACCAGTTTACCAAAAAAAACACAAACTGCATACTACTACTACTTACAAATCAACGAAGCCCAGATTTATTATCTTCAAACTAGAGTTTTCATAATGTTGCCAAAATGTTCTCATGTCTTTTTCAACTTAAACTCTTTACACCAATACATTCGATATGCTGTTGTTGAAAGTTGGGGAGGGGGCAACTTCGCAAAATGTTCCTAGCGATTTTTTAGTAACTGGGAAATCAACTATTAATGAAATTAATGTAAGCAAGTCCAGAGCATGAGGACAGCACATTTGTCGTTTCAATACGCTTATAAAAAACCATCAGGTCAACTTAAAGAACAGCGAATGCTGTAAATCAGGAACAAAAAACGGAAGTTGCTGGAAAAGCTCAGCAGGTCTGGCAACATCCGAAGAAAAATTAAAGTTAACGTTTCGGGTCTGGTGACTCCGAGTTTCTTCACGGATGCTACTAGAACTGCTGAGCTTTTCTAAGCAACTTCGGTTTTTGTTCAGTTTACCTTTGGCCCGGTCATTAGAAAGTTGTTCACGGACCTGTAACACAGAACGTAACAAGAATTTTAGTACCGAAGAGTGAATATGCCACTAATGTATGTTGGAGAAGTGTTAGATGTATGAAAAAAGATCAACTTACCACAACGCTGCTGGAGTAATATTACTGTAAACGAGCGCAAGGCAAGCGGCCAAATGGGCAAGATGCATGGCAGCGGTTCCCGTGTTCGCTGGAACAGCTCCGGACTCGATCATGTGGGCCGAGAAAGTTGTTCCACTATTTATGAGCTGCATAGCAGTCGGAAAAAAACCGTGAATTAACCAATTCGGAGCCGGGTAGAGTGTAAACAGACACGTGAACCAATGGTAGACTAGAAAGGACTACTGAATTTCAAAACAATAGTTAACATTTATCGACGACTTCCATGATCAAGTTAACTTTACGCATATCCGACACAACTTTTAGTACTTGTGTCGGGAGGCTAATATTTGCCCCTGAAAATATTAATTCTATGGAAGAACTGACTTTATCTAAAAGTTATTCTTTTGTTTACGATTGCGGTTGTAATAATGGGCAGTTCATTACTTGCTCCCAAAGATAATTGGGAGCACTTAATTTAGCATCGTATGGACGGCTTATTTCAGGTTGTTTCTGGTAAATCGATTAGAGCGCAGAGTTGTGAATTGCAGTTTCTCTGGTTTCGATTGCGTGTGTCAGGTCCTCCCGAGCGGGACCGGAACGGCAGAATTCAAAAGTGGTAGTATCAGGGAAGGACGAATGCTGGAATTTTGTTTATTCTCGCTGTTCACGGCAGAATATGCTTTCATATTACTGACCACTTTAAAATTAAAAACTGGAATATGTAAAAATCAAAGACGTCATACATCAAACCATTCGCATCTGCCTTGTTCAGAACACTGGATCGCAGATTCAGTGGCGAATTTAGACGTAATGTCTAAACTAACACGCCTATAAATACTGAGGTTCTAGTAGGATAAGAACTAAATCCTATTGTAAAGATGCACTTGGACAATCTCACGATTATGAAACGATTCCGACATGTCCTGGTCAGCAATGCTGTCAAAAATTAACACCAGAAAAAGCAGAATAGTTGGTATTCCCTGTGATCAAGAGGAACCATAAAAATACAAGTTCGAAATGTTTGATGCCTTGCCAATAATGGCCATCGTGAGTCATTGTATGACAATGTTTAGGACGTAGGCGAATCTTACAAGTCTCAGAATTAAGGGGTGTCAAATTAAGAGGAGGAATTTCTTCAGAGCTGCGTGGGTCCGTGTGCATTTAAGGTGGAGAGAAATCAATTGATTCGTCGACGCGAGGGGAAAATCAAGGGTTACAGGGAAAAGGCAGGCAAGCGGACATGGCTAGTTGAACATTCCTTTTGAGGCTGTTGAATGGCAGAGCAGTCTCGAAGGACCGAACAAACTACTCTTGTTCGTTTCCTTGTGGTTGTGTAGCAGGTGCTGCAGCGAATAGAAATTAATGTTTTATATTGTCTAAGACACACTGATTATAAGCGCAATGCTTATAAGCTACTTGGACCAGTTAGAATTCTTTCTCCGTTACATCAACAACAGCGGCACTTCTAAGGCTATCAAATCGAGTGTGATCTAAATGTTCGCTAGTGGCGAGAGACTAGTTTAAGAAAGTCTCTCACTATGGGACTTCACGCTGGGTACAGAATAACTACTAGTTGAAAACCACAAAAGTAAGACTTACAATATAACCAAGTCTGAATTTCTGGAAAATTAGTAATGTTACCAATCTTAGTATTACAATTCACAGCCATCTCACGATCTAACTGGCATAAAATTGGCGGAGACTTTTACAAATCCCGCCGAATGGTGGGAGCCGTTGCTCTTAATGACCACATTAAAGTTGTGACCACAATAATTTATATTTGATCTGATGAGATATTGCGACAGTGACATGCAGAGGCTCAGACTTGCTGAGATTCTCCGGCAAGTGTTTTTATTTCAGAATTCCAGCATTTCAACAACATTTAACATTTAGGTACAGCCTCCGGCTGGTCTGTCAGCTTATCAACAAGCTTTCAGTCATCCCGTGGAGAAGCACCTCCTAATGAACTTGCTGCCAACTCGGTAATACAGGAAAAAAAAGCGCTAAATTTCCCCCGATACAGTAGTTTCGAGTTCACGATTCTAGCAAAGTAGACGGGTCACCCAGATATCATTTTGGTAATGTGTACAGATAAGCAACCACGAGGAATGCAAATTGTGCGAAAGAAATCGCCATTTTATAAATTGTCGATTAGAAGGCCAACGAAATCAATGGATTTATTGACCCCTGACGTTCGTTTTGCTGACTCACAGCAAAAGGTTTGGTTTTAGTGTCTGGTCACATTTGTATGTCCCTACATTAACGAATAATTCACGATTATGTTCAATGATGGACAAGCGACGGAAGTATTACCATTAGATTTTTTAATAAACTGGAATGTACACGTGGAATCGTGACATTAGGTAAATATCGATTTAAAAGTCAGTAAATGCCTGACATAGGAAATCAAATACAGCACTTTCGCACCGTAGAGAGCTTATGTCGCATTTCAGTTTGTAAAAGCATTCTAACAAATGCTGGTCAACAAGAGCGAGTCGCATTGATATAGCGCCTTCCACCACAGGACACCCCAAAACCGCATTGCAAATTAGATACCTTTGAAACAGTAAAAGATGTACAAGGACAAAAATCAGTGCTGATTGTAGCTTACTAAAACAATCAGGACACAAGGGACTGAAGTTTCCTAGCTCTTCACAATGTGGAAGGTTCATTTTCATCCTCTGCTTTTGATCGGAGCCTTAATATCTCCGTGTTAAAGGAGACACTATATAGTGCAGCACTCCCTCAGCAGCTTACTGGAATTGTAGGCTTTATTTCTGTCTAAATTCTGGAGCGGGACTTGAATCTACAATCATTTAACCGAAGAAGTGAATGACAACCGAACCACTGCTGACGCACACTTCATTTTAACATAAAGTGGTTAAAATAAGACCATAGTTGGAAATCTCATTTCACTTTGCTCCGAGGAGTCGGTACGACCCATTAACCAAAAAGGGAACTTATTTCCAGCATCTGTAATTAAGTTGCTGGAAAAACCTCGGGTCTGCAGCATCTGTGGAGAGAAAGCAGATGTTTGGGGTACAGTGACCCTTTTTTAGAACTGAAGGCCCAGTTAACTACTTCGCCTCTTAGTTACATAGAGCTAGGTTTCCTAAAGTACGTACAACACTGGCAAGCCATTGGAGCCAATTGGTTCCTAAGCGTCCCTCATCGAGAGGGATTTTTTAAGATAGCAATGTTCCATTATTACACATTCTCTTCATTATGCCGTCGTTTGGGGACTTAGCGTAGTAAATGCGACTTGTCGCGTGGACTCGAGATATTTTCCTCCCAGTGTTTTAGTAACCACAACGCCGCATAAATGTGCCGTCACGACCATCTACGTTCTGATCTTTTAAGACGCCAGCCATTATGTCGGATTCAAACACCGTTCTATTGAATACTAACCTGCAGTAACACTGACATCCTGATCCATTAGCCCTGTTTTCACCGACTCTCCAACATAAGCTCCAGGTCCTGCTCGAGAGTGGCTTTCCATAGCCCATCAGCCAGGTTTTAATTGGTCTTTCCTTTCCAACCTGGACCTTAGTTACCTCCTTTCGCTTTTCAATGGTAGGACCTTCAACTACCTCATTCTTACTGTGTAGAAAGACTTCTGAACATCAACTCCCTCCTTTAACAAGTGGATCTCATTGAGCTGGATGTGGGCGATCGTCAGAAGCCTGGCTACCACTATCATTAGTTGACAGCTGACCAAGTTTCCTCAAGTTCACAACTTTAGTACGATATTGTCTACATATACGTTTGTAATGAAATCTTCATATTTCAGCTGTGATAGAATAATTCAGTAAAGGCTTAATATACCAAAACAGGGATGACAAAACTTTTACCCCACTTTAAAAAAAAAGTTTAGTTAAACATCATGAAAAAAAATACCACGTCTAAATTAACTCGTACTTACGAGGACCTACGGGCACAAAGATTAGTTACCGTCTGCTTTCGGGGTGGAGGAAAAAACCTTGTATTTTCACGAATTAGTAAATATCCGAACACGCCCTTTGAATCCGGAGGTTTATGAAGTAGACAGCATGTTGTAATGCAGCACCTGGACCGCATTCAGATATAATACATTCCACGTGCTGAGGCTGATTGAGAGCTGGAGAATCTTTAATTATCGCGTAGAGTTTAGGAGTTTTCTCCAAATAATCCGAGAAATACTAGACTATTTGTTTTAAATGCTAAATGTTTGGCATTTTCAAATTTCTTCTTGAATCAAAAATGAACCAAGAGACGAGTGAAGACAAGACACTCCCTTTCCCACAGGAGTAGGTTATTCCGGAATATAAAGATTGGATGGAAAGTACGAAATGTGGTTATTTCCGGATATTGGTAAAGCTGTCCCGGAATGGATCGTGGAGAATGATGTAAATTTGGGGCATTCTTGTTAAATAAACAGCACATCAACTGCAAATGCACGACGTTGAGTTTAGGTAATTTTTTGCAAATGTTTTGTACTATCGCCATTCATATTGTTCAATCCTTTTGGAAGTAATTCCGCTTATGTAAAAGACCTGATCTAAATTTTGTTACAGAACGTAAAGGAAATATTAAATTAACAGAACAGTTAATCGAGATGGTGACTGACTTCAAAAGTTGAACTCTTTTAACTAAGTTAATAAGGTTCCAGCAGCTGTGAAAGGAAACCCTTCTGGTCAGGGTTGTATGGTTTTCAAGGTACATTCTGTAATTGTTTGTCAACTCTCTTTTTTTTAAAAAAAGGTGATTTATCCCACAATGTGTATTGTTGGCGTATTTCTGCGCGAAGCATAAAAGCGACTTTGATAATGAGGGTTTACAACATATGGACAGGGAGCTCGCCATTTGGAGTTGCCCCGAGGGCTCCAAACCTGTAAGATTTGATGCGAGTCGCAGAACTTGAAAGCCAGGAATGTCTCCTGAATCGCATTATATTTTAAGGAAAAAATACGCGCCAACTCTTAATTTAATCCTGTTAAAATAATATCTATATCCTGGCGGCGTTAACACGCATTGTTCAAAGCAGAACCTCTATCGAAAGACAACAGGGTGGACTGTAATCTATTTTAAAGCTGGCAGTTCTAACACGGGTGTCCTATTGGCAGCGCCTTTTGTTTTAGCAGAGCAGACTATTAATTGAACGTCAGAAGGTATTTCCAGCTGGATTATGTGGGTTTGGACTTCCAGGTAAATCTGTTAAAATATAAATACACAAACTTTTAAAAACAATCAGAAGGACATCGAAATTGTCGCAAAGTATACTGATCTATCCCAGGACTGTCACTTTTTTTTTGTAAAAAACCTATTAAATTTAAATAACTTTTAAGTAAATTCAAGAGATGCATCAGTAAGATAACGTCAATTGGTATATTTGTATTCATAACAATAGTTCTCAATGTGCAGAATTATGTGCAAATTAAAACAATTTGCTTTTTTTCAGTTTTCATAACCTTGCGTATCAATGATATTGGTAATTTTTTCAGTTTCTCGTTCGTTTAAAAAGCGTGTGCTCGCCACTGACTTGGGAAAACTTTGGTGTTTGTTGTTTTTGTTCCCTTTGTTTCAATTTTGTGTACTCAATCAAATTGCTCCCAGCATATAAATTCATATATGCTAAAGTACGTTTTCCACAATGGTTGTATCTAAATGCAGTGAGGGCCGTGTACTGTTCCTTACGGAGTGATGAGATCGCTGTCATCCCTGGTGAAGGGACCTAATAGAGGATGAGATTTCAGCAGCAATAGTTTCGAGCCAGCATTATGAAACCTGTCTGTCCTGGGTCTAGCCTAGTTATTAGAGCTTGGTGGGAGATGGGTGCCATAATTGTTGATGTTTCTTCATCTTACTTTGTAGCCCATGTAGTATTCATACAGATAGACTGACGTAGTGTTAATCTTTGTTCAGTAGCAGTTATCTGTTGGAGGAGAGCTTTAGTTCAATGCCACATTCCAGACATTCACTGCATAATCTGAATTGATTTTAAGTGCGCTGTTGGAGATGCAATGGTAGACTCCCAGTTTGCACCCTCAAATGGCTGTTAAGATCGCAGTGTAAAACAATTTCAAGAAGAGCAGAGAAAATATACTGATACAAAACCAGAAGTTGCTGGAAAAGGTCAGCAGGTCTGGCTGTATCAGTGGAGAGAAATCGGAGTTAATGTTTTGGGTCAAGTGACCCTTCCTCAGAACCTTACTCTGATTTCTCTCCACGTTCTGCCAGACCTGCTGCACTTTTCCAGCAATTTCTGTCTGCTTTTGATTTACAGCATCCGTAGTTTTTTTGAAAGATATACTGATATTCAGCTTTGCATTTACCTCTCCAATCATCACCGTGCACTCGTTTATCTCATTGCTTCATGTGAGTGCTTGGGTTTGAACAATTTGGCCACCAACAGTTTGCCATGCAATTGCAGGCTCCTATATCTCAGTCCTGGTGATGGGAAGATGCATTGCCATGCTGTCAAAATTCAACATTTTCAAAAACAAATATTGTAGTCTAAGAATGGGGGGACAAAAAATGAGCTTATTCATATAGCCACTTTTAAAATGGTATCAAGCCCCAAAATATTTCACAGCCTATGAATTACTTATTTCAAATGCAATCATGTAGGGAAATGAAGAACATAGAATTAGGCCATTTGACTCTTCAAGCCTGCTCCGTTATTTAAAATGAACCTAGCTGACCTCCTATCAATTGATCATCTTCAATTTCTTCGTCCTTTGTTTTAACCCCAAAATATTCAAAAATCATCCTGAGGATTTGCTTGTTTTATTCATCTTAAGTCACCTTGTTTTGTCTACATCATTTAAATAAAAATAAGTACTGGCGTTGCACTTGAATAAGTTTTAAATTCTCTTGTCCTGCTGGTGTTTTGTCATCCTCTACTGTGTAAACAAAGTCCAATTTAACCTATATGTCATTGTCCATTATAGTCTTGACTACATCTGTTTTTTAATGGGTCCACATATGTATAGTAGGACAATAGGGTTTGGTGTATGACAGGTGCTCTTATCTACCGAGGCAGCTCACTACCACCATCACCACCTCAAAGGCAAGTAGGGATGAGCAATAAATGCTGTCCCATCCAGTGACACCCATGTTCCATGATTGAATTTTTATTTTAAGTACAGAATCCATAAGATTGAGTTGAAAAATGAGGAAAGATTTCCACTACATTGCAAGGGACATTGAAGGAAAAGCTGGTTAGGCAAATTCGAGGTAAATAGCAGGCATAGAGTAATTATCATGGGAGAGTTCAACAGCTTCCAAACAAACTGGGAGGATGAAATAATAAAAAGACAAAAGGGAATCAGGTTTTTAAAGTGTATGAGCAAGGCTGGTAAGGTATAGGGAATGCCGGATGACTTGAGAAATTGAGGTTTTGGTCAAGAAAAAGAAGAAAGCATATGTCAGGTATAGACAGCAGTGATTGAGTGAATCCCTAGAAGAGTATAAAGGCAGTAGGAGTATACTTAAGAGGAAAATCAAGAAGGCAAAAAGGAGATATGAAATAGCTTTGGCAAATAGGGTTAAGGAGAATCCGAAGGGGTTCTGCAAATTCATTAAGAACAAAAGGGTAACTAGGGAGAGAAAAGGGCCCCTTAAAGATCAGCAAGGCCACCTATGTGTGGAACTGCAGGAGATGGGGGAGACACTAAATGAGTATTTTGCATCAGTATTTACTGTGGAGAAGGATATGGAAGATAGAGAATGTAGGGAAATAAGCTGTTTGAGGGAATCCTGACAGTATTTACGTGTATTTGGAAAGGCAAGGACTGATTAGGGATAGTGAACATAGTTTTGTGCGTGGAAATCGTGTGTCACAAACTTGATTGAGTTTTTTGAAGAAGTAACATAGAGGATTGATGAGGGCAGAATGGTGGATGTGATCTACATGGATTTCGGTAAGGCATTCAGCAGGGTTCCTTGTGGTAGCCTGGTTAGCAAGGTTAGATCACATGGAATACAGGGAGAACCAGCTATGTGGAAACAGAACCAGCTCAAATGTAGAAGACAGATTGTGGTGCTGGAAGGTTGGTTTTCAGACTGGAGATCTGTGACCAGTGGGTGTGCCACAAGGATCGGTGCTGGGTCCACTGCTTTTTACCATTTTCTATAAATGATTTGGATGTGAACATAAGAGGTATGATTAGTAAGTTTGCAAATGACACTAAAATTGGTGGTTTAGTGGACAGTGAAGGGGGTTACCTCAGAGTACAACAGGATCTTGATCAGATAGGCCAATGGGCTGAGGAGTGGCAGATGGAGTTTAATTTAGATATATGTGAAGTGCTGCCTTTTGAAAAGGCAAATCAAAGCAGTACTTATACACTTGATGGTAAGGTTCTGGGGAGTGTTGCTGAACAAAAAGACCTTGGAGTGCAGATTCATAGTTCCTTGAAGATGGAGTCACAGGTAGTTAGGATAGTGAAGATAGCATTTGGTATGCTTGCCTTTGTTGGTCAGTACATTGAGTATAGGAGTTGGGAGGTCATGTTGTGGCTGTACAGGACATTGGTCCGGGCACTTTTGGAGTATTGTGTGCAATTCTGGCCTCCCTCCTATAGGAAGGATGTTGTGAAACTAGAAGGGGCTCAGAAGATTTACAAGGATGGGAGGGTTGGAGGGTTTGAGCTGTAAGAAGAGGCTGAATAGGTTGGGGGTATTTTCCCTGGAGCATCAAGAGGCTGAAGGGTAACCTTATAGAAGTTCATAAAACCATGAGAGGCATGGGTAGGGTAAATAGGCAGGGTCTTTTCCCT